TGGTTCTCGACCAGAAAAAGGTGGTTTGCCCTCTCCGGGTCGGTGGAGAGTCCTTGCCTCAAGTGGAGGAGTTCAAGTATCTCGGGGTCTTGTTCACGAGTGAGGGGCAGATGGAGCATGAGATTGACAGACGGATCGGTCCAGCGTCTGCAGTGTTGCGGTCGCCACACCAGACCGTCGTGGTGAAGAGAGAGCTGAGCAAGGGAGCAAAGCTCTCGATTTACCGGTTAATCTACGTCCCAACCCTCACCTATGGTCATGATCTGGGTAATGACTGAAAGAACAAGATCGCGGATACAAGCGGCCGAAATGAGCCTCCTCCGCAGGGTGGCTGGGCGCTCCCTTAGAGATAGGGTGAGGAGCTCAGTCACGCGGGAGGAGCTCGGAGTAGAGCCGCTGCTCCTCCACATCGAAAGGAGCCAGCTGAGGTGGCTCGGGCATCTACGTCGGATGCCTCCTGGACGCCTCCGTGGGGAGGTGTTCTGGGCGCGTCCCACCGGGAGGAGGCCCCAGGGAAGACCCAGCACACGTTGGCGAGATTATGTCTCTCGACTGGCCTCGGAACGCCTAGGGGTCCCCCCAGAAGAGCTGGAGGAGGTGTGTGCAGATCAAGAAGTCTGGGTGGCTCTGCTCAGGCTGCTGCCTTCGCGACCCAACTCCGGATACGCGGGAGAAGATGGATGGATGGAAATATTTCAGCTGCAGAAAGGAGGAACACATAGGAACCGTGTTGGCCGCCACCACACGAGGGAACGTGGCTAATTAGTTTTATTAAATTGTAATCAGCCCCACAAAGCTCTGTATGATGCGTGCATGGACAGATCCAAAGCGAAAAATTATTTCAGAAGCCTTTTGCCAGAATTCCGCCATATGAGAGAGGTTCCAGATAGTTAGCACTCAACACGTAATTTTTCAGCTTTTTAAAAAACAAACAAAAAAACAACAACAATTTGTTATTACAAAGTTAGAGATTAACTCGACAATTTCCCTGAGGTTCAACCAAAGGGATCAATAATCTATCTATCTATCTATCTATCTATCTATCTATCTATCTATCTACAGAGAATGGAAAAACAAAATGTCCTCATGTCAGTTTTGTCTGGTATTGTGCAAGGCTGGCAGTTAGTGTCGACTGTTGGTGATGTTCATTATGCTGCGAACAGAAGCACGTTCCTGCATAAAAACTGGCAAGACACATACACACAGAGAGGAAAGTCACTACTCCAGTTTCACACCGTCTTTTGTTTCTTATTTAGCGTGTGTTCGTGCCTGAACATGTCGAACATTCAGAGGCAGGTCAAAGAAAAAAACAAATTCTTTTGGATCCACACCTGATATGCACACATTCAAAAAATAAAAACCCGGAACACACAAACTCCTTTAGTTCTCCAGTTAAACACATTTTCTGTGGCTGTAAACTCTGTCTTATACCTTGTTCTCTTCTAAATAAATGCTTTTGTGTATATACGTGCTTGTTTTAGAGAGTGAATGCAGCTCCAGTTGACTATTTAGATATCCAGAACCCTTCCACCTTTACCAGAGATGATTCTGACAGGTTTAGGTGCAGTACTTATTCCAGGTGGGAATCAGACATCAGAGTTCCACACTGACAGCCTGGTATATTTTATGACTGATATTCTGGCTTCGTGAGACTGTTCTGAATACCCTGGTTGCACCTAAAGTTGTAAAAACTGTGTTAAGAGGCGTTGTTGTGGGGAAAATTTAACCTGAGTGCATCCTGTGTTCAGCCTTGTGTCCCCAGATGACTACTTTGTACATAGACACAGGGACATAACCAGATAGGAAGCGATTCTGATCAAGTTTTTATTTTAGCATGACACAGCCACTCAATGCTAAAGTAGTGATTTAAAACTGACTCAGCCCAGATTGAACACATGTACTTGTTTATTCAGTGTGTTATCACAATTATTTTGTCGAAACAATATTGTCTTAATTTGAAAATCAGCAGGACTGCACAGAACATCTGTGGGTGATGCTGTGATACTGAAGGCAACAGAGCTGAGCTACGACACAGTGCGACTTGGATATGAGGAGGCAGAGCTGCTTCAGCCCTGCCTCATAAAACGTATCATACAAATAGATTTGGCAGCTGCATGCATCAACAAAAGGATGTTGGATCAGCGTAGCCACATCAGAGCAGAGAATCTTCTCCTCATCAGTCCTTTAAATGCTGTTTCACAGCAAAGTCACAATCAGCTGTTTAACACCCGCAGAGTCGACACGGTCACAACTGAAAATCTCCACATCAGCTCAACGTCACTTTAACCCGATTCAGGACTTTCATGTTGCCATACCTAGAAGGTCTTTTAGGGTCCACTGGACCACAAGAAAGAAGATGTGTAAAATATTTGTTCGTATTCATTACAGACTTTTACAGTATGTTTAATACATTTTCTGATAAATTGACATATTTTTGGTTCCAAATGCATGACGAATGTCCGTCTCTTTACATCAAAAAAAGAAACCCTTCAGTGGTAGCCTGGGGTCCAGACGACCCCAAAAGTCCTGAATAGGGTTAAACTAAAAACCAAACAACACGTTTGTGTCGGTTCCAAACCCAACATTCGGGGAGTTTCACATTGTCCCATTTCTCTGCTGTCACCTCAGATAAACTGTGAGCTACACATGTGCAACGCTTACCTCAGTGACCTCCCTACAAAACTAAAGCACTTTGCCCAACACACAAATGCGATGCCTTTGTTTGACATTACTGATCTTTGGTATTACTCATCGCTCTAGACTGAGCGACAGGCAAACAAGCTCATCTTACCTCACATCTGGCAGACTCCTCGTCCTTTTCTCCTCAGATATGCATGACTCTCATCGGTGACCTATTCTGATCTGAAAACAGTGAATTTCATTAAAAGGTGAGGATCGTGCATCTCTGCTCAACTGAAGCAAAGTCAGAAACACTCAGAGCTGAATGCAGCCTGCAGCCACACCTGTCTACATGCACAGACATGCAGCCTGATGCATGAAACCGTTTCACAAAAATCTGAACTGAGATGGCGTCAGGTTACTGTGAGTTGATCAAAGCATTATTTTTAACTCCCAGCAGAGGTCAGGTGATCCCAGATCGGACACAGGTGCGCTGAGCGTCACTTTCTGCATCGGTTCTGTGAATAACTGACTCTGACAGAAGCATGTCAGGTGACTGTTCACGCGGTCATGAGGACATTTTTGTCCACTTCACTGCTTATATTTTTTTGGAACAGTGTAAATGCATATGCCATAGATCCTGACAAAGTATTTTTGGGGGGACTTTGAGGTTTCAGTCTCATGTCTCAAGATTCATTGACAATGTGTACAAACTACACTCAGGACTCAAATGTCCTCATAAAACCCACTGAAACTAGCATTTTTGATCCCACTGTACTGTGTTGTTAAGCTTTTATTCTGGAGCTTTGATTTCACTTCTGTCATTTTTACAATTTTCTACCTGATCGAGTCATATTTTTCATATTTGGCCTTTTATGGAACACACACGTTTTGCTTTTTCACTTTCTGCTGTATTATAGAGCCCTCAGGTCAGTGGAGCATGTCCAGTTACCACCTACAACGGATTGGGGGGTGCTGGTATGGGTAAAGGGGAGTTTCTTTGGAAACTACTTTCTACTGTCTGTTTTCAACAACCAGCGTTACTGATGTGACTGACAGGTGAACTGTTCACAGCATGAAGCAAACAAACACACTGCATTAAAAACACAACAAGCACACAACAACATTAGCAGGAGTCAACAACAGTGGAGCTGTTCTCAGGAAACATGACCACACTGTGAACTGCCATCATCACTGAACATCTCTGAATGTAGTTCACCACTCATGGTATATGTAGGGATGGGTACCGAGCCCCGGTATTAAACAGCCCGGGGGGTCCGACGTTAATGGTTCTGTTAACGGTGTCTGTGAAGATTCTCAGTCATCCAGGTCATGGTTATTCTGGTAGATTAATCGTAGCAACTGGACCTGCTTGAGTTCGTTGAAGACGTCACCTCTCATCCAAGAGGCTTCATCAGGTCTGACTGACTAGTTGGGAGATCCAGACACTCTTTAGGATATCAGTATCTGGATCTCCCAACTAGTCAGTCAGAAGTGATGAAGCCTCTTGGATGAGAGGTGGAACGTCTTCAACGAACTCAAGCAGGTCCAGTTGCTACGATTAATCTACCAGAATTCTGTTCACGGTACTTTAGAAAGTCAGGAGATCGTTGTGTTGCACAATCTAGTTCATCACTGGAAAATGTGTCTGATGTGTCTGTGATGCACTTTTGCTGCTTTCCGAATGCTGTCTGTCAAACAAAACACCTGCTGTGTTCTGGGCGGAGCAGCTCCGGGCACACAGGTGACAAAAGGTCCAAAAGTACGATTTCATTCTCGACAGACTCAAACTGCTGCTTCCTGTAACTTTGTTGTAAACCTGCACACTGAACCTTCAGCCTCACCAAATAATAATCAAACACGATGGCAGTTGTGTTTGACTGGATCTAACAGGACTAATCTGCAGGCGACTTGGGTTCAGAAAAAGCCCGACGTGGAGGAGGTTTGTGAGCATGGAGTCTCAGTGTGTCTGCAGAAACTGTTCAATCTTCTCATTTATCAGTTTGTACATCATTGATTCCTTTCTTCACATCTTAGTCCCCGTCTGGATCTTCAGGACACAGTTCATCCACGCTGTCCTGTTTAATATGACCTCCATCTGCAGAGAGAAGAAGAAAGAACAGAGGAGATCAGTGGGTGTTTTCATCAGCAGTAGCCTCATTTCAGAGTTGATGCCAAGTCAGCGTGTCGGCACAAGTCTGAACTGAACCATCACATTAACAGACGGGCACAAAAAACGGTGTTTCACGTTGTGTGGAGCGAAAAAACACAAAACATCAAGAAAACAAAAACATCACAGGAAGCAAAAAACACAGTTTGTGAGGCAAAATCACAACACACCTGTCTCACCTGCTCTCCAGTTACACATTTATTACAGTACAACATGCAAAGTCGATAATAGTACAACTTTTTTTTTTTTTAAGTTATTTTTTTGGCCTTTGTGCCTTTATTTGATAGAGCAGTGAGAGAGAGAGACAGGAAAGTGGGGGAGAAGAGTAGGGGGAGGACGTGTGGGAAAGGGTCATGAGCGGGATTCGAACCCATGACCTCCACATTGGGACTATAGCCCTGTACATGGGACGCCAGCTCAACCAGGTGAGCTATAGCGGTGCCCCATAATAGTGCAACTTTATTGCGATTAAAAAAACTAACACGAACAGGTTAAATACACTCAATAAACGTAATCTGAGTGTTTCCCCCCACAAGGACCTGAAGCTTAGATCGGTGCTTCAGCTGTTGAGAACTACGACAGATTGTTTAATACCTGCAGCACCAGACGGCAGCAGGATCCATGTGATCGTCTCCAGAGACAGAATTAGGCACATTTGCACGAATACAGCACCAGGAACCTCGTTAAACACTTTAAAACGTCTCCCTGAGAGGACCGACCAGGATCCCACCGTGTTCGGTCTACTCGTTCTACTTGTAGTTTCGTTTGATGCTTCCAGCTGTTGAGGACTATTTCCTTCCTTTCCTTGCGCGTCGCCTCAGACAGGTGAGCCGTCACACACAGTCACAGCTGATCAGCTGCAGGGACATGTTTCGCTCCATCACGGCTGCCCTCAGGTTGAGTTTCATGGTAAAGAAATCAGAACTAAACTGGGCTGTGACAGTTGTGTAGATGGGTACTGTGACAGAGTGTCGTCCTTTTGATGAAGCAGCTTTGTTCTGTCTGGAAAAGGTTCGTGATGCTCTGAACACATCCAGTATTAGGAGCAGCAGAGACTGACTGTGACCTTCTACTGACCTCAGAGTCTCCAGGCTGCAGTCTGGACTCTCCACAAGATCAGACAACTGCTGCACCTCAGAGTCCTTCAGGTAGTTGTTACTCAGGTCCAGATGTTTCAGACGGGAGGGGTTGGACTTCAGAGCTGAGACCAGAGAATCACAGCTGATCTCTGACAAAACGCACTGAGTCAGTCTGAATGAAGAACAAAAGATGGAAGTTTAGGAGACAAAGTTTCTGCCTGAAAGCTTTCAGAGTTTCATCGTGTGTTCAGAGATGAAGAATGTACGAGTTTAACCCCAAACAGCTGAAGCCAACAGGAAGTAGCTTCAGTTAGTGCACGTGAAGAAGAGCTCTCATTAATGTTAATGACACCACGCTGCTGCTTCAATAACCATGGAAGTGACTTCAGCTGCTAGGAAACGTCTACAAGTTGAGACCCAAGACTCTAAAATACGTTCATGTTCTGGAACCGTGGGAACGTTTCAATCAGGACTCTACATTAAAATGCATTTCATTATTGATCCATCTGTCACTGACAGTTGAAAGTGTGGATCACAGACTTAAGAGGACAAATGACGCTAAAGACAAACATTCTCACGTTCACAAGACAGAAACCAAAGAAAAATAGAAAATCTGTAGAAACTGAAGCAGAAAATGTTCCCATTGCTCCTTGATAAAAAGACTTCAACTATTCACCAGCTGTCAGAACTTCTGCTGCTGGATTTTCTGCTCTTTGAAGAACTTATTGAAGATAAAAATGTTGCCATGTTGGATTTGAACATTTCACTGAATAAAACATCCCATGACTTCATCCAGGTGTTGGAACCAGCAGATGCTGAATATTTGTTTCTGCCTCACAGGCTGAAAAACAGGCTGAATCAGAGCTGAAACGATCAGTCGATGGACAACAGATCAAAAACATTCTCAAGATGGTTTCAGTCATTTTTCAGTCAAACTAAAATGGTTCCAGTTGGTCCACTGTGAAGACTTTCTGGTTTCTATCACTCAACACTGAATGTTTGTTATTTTGGACTGTCGCATGGAAAAACTAGATGTTTGAAGACGCCACCTTCAACTCTGACAACATGTTTTTTTTTAACATTTTCTACATTAATAAACAAGCTTCATCATCAATAGAAATCATCTCGAGTTGCTGCTCTGGTTTCACTTCTAGATAAAGAAAAACATGAGGTCAAAAATGAGGTGAAGATCAAGTGAATTATTCAGCAGGAGGATCTTGATGACATCTGCAGCTCAACATGTTACCATGAAGATCCTCAGTGTGGATCAGTATATCATCAACCTGAAGGCTGCAGTTTAGTGTCAACACAACTTCACATTCATCTCAGCACAAAACTAAAACATGGTGTCTTACTTCAGAGTCTCCAGTTTGCAGCGTGGATCCTCCAGAAAACCACACAGATGCTTCACTCCTGAATCCCTCGGCATGAAGTTTCTACTCAGGTCCAGATATTTCAGGTGGGAGGGGTTGGACTTCAGAGCTGAGATCACAGAAGTAAAGCTGATCTCTGACAGAGTGCAGCAAATCAGTCTGAAAAATGAATTAAACTCGCAGTTAGAACCATCAATGATCCAATCAGACGTGTTCAGCTCATCAATAATCACCCTAATCGATACGGAGAGTGACTTTGTCCTCCTGTTGTTGTGGATCATGCTGTCGGTCTCCTGCTCGCATTAGTTAAAGTCAAGTTTCAGAAACATACGCGGATCGGAGCCCTGATTAATGATAGCACCTGCGCTCTCGGACGTGAACGCGCAGAACAACAAGCTCCAAGTCTCCTCGAGAATCTAACACGACCGCTTGTACGAATAACAGTAAACAACGGAATGCAAACAAAAACAAAAGTTGTATATTAGGATAATCATTAAACATATAACATCTATAACAGTAACAAGACAGACAGTGAACTGACCCCAGAGTCTCCAGTTTACAGTGTGGATTCTCCAGAAAACCACACAGATGCTTCACTGCTGATTCCGGCAGCTGGTTGTAGCTCAGGTCCAGATGTTTCAGGAGGGAGGGGTTGGACTCCAGAGTTGAGACCACAGAATCACAGTTGGTCGTTGACAACTTGCAGAGCCACAATCTGAAAAACACGAGGGATGAAGTCATCGATAATCCGATCCAAGTGTGCAGCTCAACATGACTTTGTCCTTCTGTTGTTGTGGATCATCACGCAAAGTCAGACTGTAGAAGCACAAACACGCAGTTACTTTAACATTAATCGAACTACGACGCTCCTCTCCGACCTTGAAACGTCTCTTCGCCTGAACATTTATAGCTGGATCCAAAGACTGTGGGCCAGAATGAACAGAGCTGTGGACCATTTTAAAGCAGGGGTGTCGACATCCGGTCCTCGAGGGCCGCAATCCTGCATGTTTTAGATGTTTCCTTCTTCCAACACAGCTGATTCAAATGATCAGGATCGTTGTCAGACTTCTGCAGAGCTTGATGATGAGCTGATCGTTTGAATCAGATGTGTTAGAAGAGGGAAACATCTAAAACATGCAGGACTGTGGCCCTCGAGGACCGCAGTTTGACACCCCTGATTTAAAGCCTGTACAGCAAATGTTGAAACTGAAAAATGTTGTGAATGTGACACACCAACCCATTTCTAACAAGTTGTCGTGGTGATGTGTAGGTCTGTGTCTCACGGTGCTACATGAGCTCTTCTTTCAACAGTAATCCAGAAGCATTTGGAAACAGGTCAGAACCAAATGCTGTTGTTATATTGTGTGTGGTTTTTCTTTCTTGCTGTTTAGCTGCACATCAGTTTGAGGCCTCCTTTGTCGTATTTTCTCTTTCTTAATGGGTGACAGGTTTGGACTGCAGGCAGGCCAGTTTAGAAGATTCTCTGACTATGAAGCCATGCTGTTGTGATATGTACACAAATCGGTTTGTCCTGTGCTGTGCTGAAAAGGCTTTCCCAGAAAAACACAAACAAATCAGCTTTCTTTAGATTTGTGTTCAAGCAGATCTCAAAGATTTAAGAAGCAGAATTCTCCAACAGTCAAGGATTTGAGCTCTATAAGTACAGGAAGACTACAACAGCTCCAGTCAGTGCACCGACCTCAGACTCTCCAGTCTACAGTTTGGACTCTCCAGTGCAGAACACAGCACCTTCATTCCATCGTACGGCAGTTCGCTTCTACTCAGGTCAAGCACGGTCAGATGGGAAGGGTTGGACTTCAGAACTGAGGCCACGATTTCCAAGTGAGCCTCTGAGAGGTGACTGTCCGTAAGTCTGTGATTGGAGAACAAATACAGGAATGTGCATTAAAAATAAAGACCAAATGCACACGGTGACGACAGCAGAGCTACATGTCAGACTCTGATGAACATCTGTGATTCAGCTGATTGCATTTCACTGTGTTTGACACAATGACTGTCTTCAGTCTCTCACACCTGCAGACTTCTAGTGAGAATGAATCTTGCAGAAGACGGGAGTAAAACTGGTGTTAAAGTGAGCGTTTCATCCTGTCCACGGTCTGTCAGTGTGAGTCAGAGTGAAGACATCGCTTCAATTCCTTACTGCTATTTCGAATGACTTCAACTCAGTGAACAGTTACAGTCAGGAAAGATTTACTCGCTTTGTTACCGACTAATGTTCACACGCAGAGAAAACTTAACGAAACAAACCACCTAACAATGGTCAGTGAACTAAAAGGTCCCTTTAACAACAACATGACCTCCAGAAGGCTCCCAACGTCCACGTTCCAAATGATGTACAGTTGAAACCAGAAGTTTACATTCACTATATAAAAAGACATAAAACCTTTTTTTTTCTATCTGACATTAAATGTGAAGAAATGCACCCATTTCTGACCACAGAAACACAGAAACCACACATTTTTAGCCTCATTCCCAAAACAACAGACGAGAGTCAGCACATATGAAGCATTAAAGAACTGATCATAGTTAATGAACACATCTGGACTCACCGAGCCTTTCTGCAGTTCCTCACAGCTGGAATCAGTCTCAGTCGTCCCTGCTTTGTTGTGTTGTACTTCTCCAAGTCCAACTCATCCAGAACCTCCTCTGACATCTGCAGCATGTAGCCCAGAGCTGAGCAGTGGATGTCAGAGAGTTTATCTTTTGATCTGCTGTCGGACTTCAGGAACTCTTGGATCTCCTGATGTACTGACAGATCCTTCATCTCCATCAGACAGTGGAACATGTTTATGCTTCTGTCTGGAGACATGCTAGTCTTCTTCTTCTTCAGGTTGTTGATGATTTTCTGGATCATTTCTGGACAGTTCTCTGTCCGACCCAGAAGGCCTCCTAAGAGTCTCTGGTTGGACTCCACACAGAGGCCATGAAGGAAGCGAACAAACAGGTCCAGGTGACCATTTTTACTCTCAAGGGATTTCTCCAAGACTCTCTTCAGGAAGACATCCAGGGACGGGTTGCTGTATTTTCTTCCCAGGAACTTCTTCAGCACCTCAGTGTTGTTGTTGGTGTGACAGTGGAACATGTAGACTGCAGCCAGAAACTCCTGAATGCTCAGATGGACAAAGCAGTAGACTGGTTTCTGGAACATCACACACTCTCTTCTGAAGATCTGTGTACAAACTCCTGACAACA